AGAAAGTTAGGGATAAGTTTTACCCTAGTTTTCTCATTTTCTGCAGAAACAAAAAACTGAAGAGTTTTCTAACTTAGAAATGGGGAAGATGTCAATGACTGAGTATTACACGAAGTTCATTGAGCCGTCGAGGTTTTCTAAGGAGTTCGTGGCTGCAGAAAAAGCGAAGGATAGGAAATTTGATAGTGGTTTAACTACTGATCTTCAACTTAAGCTGTATCAGTGTTTGATACTCCAGATGAAGTATATGGAAGGTTTGCACATCTCTATGCATTGGAGTTGAAGGAAAAGAAGGAGTTGGCTGAGATAGAAGGAAAGGAGAAGAGAAAAGACATATAGCAGAGTTTTGGAAACCCTGAGGGTAACCAGAGCAACTTCAAGAGACAAAAGTTCACCCACAACCATAAAAGCAATAACTTCAACAACAACGGGTGGACGAAACTTTGATGGAGGAGCTAGGAATTTTAACTTGGGAAACAACAAAGCACCAAGGCATTTCTTTTATATTCCTTCATTCAATAATTACACCTCTTTACGTGCTTTCTCTTACTTTATATACACCCTATGTTTCTTTTTTAAGTGTTACAATTTGACCAAACACATACTAAAACACGATTTTGATCATTATTTTAGCCAATTACGAAGTATATGTTAGTTAAAATTATAAGAAAATTGATAGTATGAAAGTATACATTATAACGAATCCAAAAATATATTATACAACAACATTTGCGCTTTATAAATTAGTAAAAGAGTCAAGTCAAAACTATTTTGTTAATAGTGAAAAACATGCAAAATTACAGCCATTGACAACAACTTTAAAGGGTTTTGCATTTCATTGACACCAACTTGTAGCACAAATTAAATTGTCACCAACTTGTTAAAAAAAAATGACATTAATGATGTTGGAGTGGGACTCACTCGCCAAAAAGTTAATATTTAGTGTGTTTAAATCATTATTAGTATTTAAAAATGGATTATTAAATCAGTAATTATGTTAATGTGCTAATTAATTTTTTGTAAAAAAAGCCCAAATTAAATATGAAAACCCCAATTCTCTCTCTCCTCCTTTCTCTAGTCATCTTCTATGCTTATGTTCTCCAATCTTCTTAATCTCTTCTGCCAAATATGAGACAACGTTGAAGAAATTGGAGATGGCGAAGAGTTATCGACTGAATTGATAACACATACTGTTTCGGTTAGAAAACAATGGACCTTCAGCTGGTCCTTCGGATGAGTGGAGATGGAGCACAATTCGAGTGATAACCGAATTGAGGTTTTCCTGCACAGCTAAACACACGTAAACTGGCCTCGGGGGTTGTGCCGAGGAAGGCCCCTCCGATGCCGAAGTCAGTACGGATGTAAGATAATGAGAGAAAAGCTATGCAAGAGAGTTTGTTGCTTGAGGCATTTAATGTGAATGAATGTAAATATGCAAAAATGTGAGCTTTTATACCTTACTCCAATTGGATGGATTGGGCTTGAGGAATCAAATGGGCTGTCATTTGATTGGGCCTTGTTGTACCTGACTTGGCTTATTTGAAATGAGGGTTGAACCTTGTCCTTTGGGCTTTAATTATTTTCATTGTGGACTGGGCCCAAATACAAGTTATTTGGACCCCAAACACATACTATATGATTCAAGTTTTGTAACCCACGCCAACACATAATAATCCATTCACGCAAAACATAATTCTAACATTCATAAAAATTAAAAATTGACACTGAAACCTTATTATTTACTGCTCAATAATGATTCCAATTTTGCCAAAACCGGCATACTACTTAAAATTATAAACATGGAAAGATATGAAGAAGCTTGGGAAAAGTAAGCAATTAATGAAGAGGAAACAGAAGAAGAATGAACATAGGAGATGATTGAAGAGAGGAGGAGAGAGAGAGTTGGGGTTTTTTTTAAATTAAATTTCCTTTTTTAAAACAAAAATTAATGCATTAGCATAAATTATGAAATTAATTATTTAATAATTAATTTCTAAATACTAAAAATAATTTAAATACAGTAAATGTTAACTTTCCGGCGGCAAATAGGCCCACTCCGGAATTATTAATGTTATTTTCATTTTTTCTAACTCAAGTTGGTGTCAATCTAACTAGTGGTATAAGTTGATGTCAATAAATGCCAAACCCCTCAAAATTGGTGTCAATAATTGTAATTTTGTCAAACGTAAAAGTATAACACTTAAAAAAAAAAAAAAAAAAAAAAGAGGGAGGACCTATTTTTACACAAATTCACCTTTAATATTCCCTCTCTTACTTTATTCTATTTTGTATTTCACTCTCTCACATTATGCAATACATTCTTAAATAAGACCCAGCCCGGTATAATTATTTATACTTCCTCCGCTTTTTTTAGTTATATCACTTTCCTAAAAAAGAAATTTTAAATTAGGTGCATCACTTTCCTTTTAAATTAATAAATTCTCTCTATCTCTCTCACTCCTACCACATGGGCCCCATTTTTTTTTTCTCTAGCTCTACTCCAAAAATTATTCAGGATCGAAATCCGTGAAAACAAAAGTGAAGCAACTAAAAAAGAACGGAGGAAGTATTATGTTTTAAGAGAGTAATTTAAAAGATTCTCTTAACTTATAAATAGTGCCGATACTAAATGGAAAGAGCAAAAAAGAATCGAAGGGAGCACTTAGCAATGAATACTTTCATAAAAAATTTATATATATAAAAAAAAATCTTTAATTAATTTACAATAATTTTTTTTATAAACTAATATTAACTACACAATTATTAATATTAAATTAATATGAGAATAAGGGACAATTTAAGTGGTTAGAGCTTCTCTATCTCCTGATTCAAAGAGATTACTTATTCAGTATATTGATGTATTCCCAAATTTTTTTTAAAGACAATAGGGCCACAAGGGGTATATATTGTTTAAATTATTTGTCATGTGCGTCATTTTCTTGTTTTTTTAAGCAAAATTATTCTCCATTTGATTTAATGTATAATTTACATGGTTTTTAAAAAATACTGTAAAAATATACTAGTAGTTCTATAAAGTCAACAAATTGAGAGTGAGGAATAGCTCAAGTGGTTAGAGCTCCCTTCCCGATTTCAATAGATTTTAGAATCGATTCTCATCACCCGTCCTTGTGGTTCTCCAAACAAAAACAAAAACAAAAAACAAAAAACAAAAAAAAAAAAAAAAGTCAACAAATTTCGTTTATGATTTAAAAACACATCCTACCATTTTAATTTAATAATGTAATGATGAAGTGTTAGTTATGTTTTGAATTGTCTCCTAATCAAGGTTAATTATTACTCCCTCCGTCTTTATTTGTTTGCCCAATTGCTAAAATGTGGGTCAAACTTTGATAACTTTGACCATAAATTCTCGTTATTCTACCAAAAGAAATATATTCATGTGGGATCTTGTTTGGTTCGTCTCATTATAAATTTAATTAATATTTACTTTTTATAATTTTTAGGTATATGAAAATTGAGATATAAACGTTTTAACACACATTTTGGAGACCGCGTAAAGTCAAATAGGGCAAAAATAAAGGGACAGTAATACTATATGTATTGCCGTTTATTAATGATATCGCTTTTGAGCACATTCTCATGTGATTTCGTCTTGATACTACCAAATCACAATTTATTCAGACTTTCACTTTCTACAAGTCAATTTGGGGGAGGGGGGCAGCAATTTGAAGATTTTCATCACATTCTCTAGATCTCTTCTTAAGCTTTAAAGTGAATCAATGATTCCCATTGAAAGATCCAAGGCTAAAGGTCTTTGACGTGAAGCTAAGTATAGGACATACAACCTTCCGTTTTTATAATCCTCTTGTTTTGAATCTTGTAACTTAGCTTCTCGATAGTTATGTAGGGTATTATTTATTTTTTTTTTTTTTTTTTTTTTTGAAAGGGGGTATTATTTAATTTGTCTCAATGAGTGTCTTAAAAATTATATATTTATAAATTTTACTACTCCGTACAATGTAATTTGGAAATTTAATGATCAATGTGTATTGACAGACGTGCATGGTTTAAATAGTAAATTAAGAAAAGGTGGAAAGTGTACATCATTCATTTTATTCTAATAAAAATGTTTTGACTTTTATGTTATTTACATACCTCAATTTAACCACAAATTTAATGTTTAAGTAGGATTAAGTTGTAAGTGCAAGTTTCTCCTTTAAAGACTTACTGATTACTTGCAATCTAAATTTCCTAAACGAACACTTTTAAATTAAATAGATCAATCTATCACTCTGAATCCCTGGTTTAAAAAAAAATTGATATAGTTAAAATATGGTCACCTCCATTTTTTTTAAGTGTCCCATTTTAACTGGGCACATACACTAATGCAAAACTTAGACTTATAATACTTTAAATTATCAATAAATATAAATCACAATAAAAGGTTAAAACATAAAATGAAAACGTTAGTTAAAATAAGTTAAATAAATAAGAAATATTGTCAAAAATAATACAACCTTTGGCCCGTTAATATTAATAATACAACCTTTGGATTATACATGAATATTACAACCTTTAGGGGGTCTCAACTTTAAACAAGATAAAAAAAAAACTTGTAATCAGTTAAAAAAGTTATTTATGACACTTGTCATCATATAATTGGTCTAAATTTATTTTTTTTTATTTTTTTAAAAAAAAAGTAATTTTTGATTAAAAAAAAAAAAAACCATTCCAGCAACCCCTCCCCGTCAAACACATAATCCCTTCACCCCGCGATTCCCCTCCCTGTTAAACACCTAATCCCTTCCCTCGACGGCCCCCTCCCCGTTGAATACGAAGAAAGGAGTGATAAGCGGCGATTTTATGCCGGAGAAAGGAGTGATCCCGCGCCGATTTTTAAGGCTAGAGAAAGGGAGGGGTTGTTTTCGGGGCTGGGGAAGGGGAAGGGGCCGGGACGATTATCGGGGGCAGGGGAAGGGGAGGGACGGTTTTTCGAGGGGCTAGGGCAAGGGGATGAGCGGTTTGCAGGGTGGGGGAAGGGGAAGGGGAAGGGTAGCTTTTTGCGGTTGCTGGGGAAGAGGAGGGGTGGTTTCGTGGTGGGGGAAGGGGAGGCAGGGGTCTTCGATGGTTGGGCTGGGGTTAGGGGCTGCCGGAGATGGCGTGCAGGTGGTGCAATAGTGGTGTACATTGGGAGGAGAGAGAGGGAAAAAAACCAACAATAATTTAAAGCAATCATATAGCGACACATATCATGGTTAACCCGTTTAACAGGTTACCAACTGGTTATGTCTTGTTTAAAATTAACAAGATCCAAAGGTTTGTAATATTCATGTATAATCTAAAGGTTATACTCCCTCCGTCTCTTATTTTTTGCCCCATTGCAATTTTATGGGTCAAACTTATAAAACTTTGACCATAAATTCTCGATAATCTATAAGCGATAATATATTCATGTGAGGTCTTGTTAGAATCATCTTATTGTATATTTTATTTATATCAAACTTTTATAATTTTTATGCGTATAGAAATTAAGATATATACGTTTGAACACACGTCTTAAAAACCGTAAAAAGTCAAATAGGGCAAAAAATAAGGGACATAGGGAGTATTATTAAGAAGAACGGGCTAAAGTTTATATTATTTTAACAACTTTTCCAATAAATAATGCAAAAAGTCGCAAGGGAGGCACTTTAATAATAAAATGGGCCTATTCAATAACTTTCCATTGCTCTCATTACAAGAGTTAAAAAAAAAAGTCAATAGGAGAAAACGTGGAAATAAAAAACCCAAGCGGTCCTGAATACTTCCGTTTGCTACAAGTGACCTATAAATCATGTCACCCCCCAATTTCACCATTTATATGTGCATTGCATCACACCAATTAAAGTGTCAAAACATTTATTAATTTTGCGTCCTTTGATTAGCTACAAATCATGAACAAGTACATGAATAAGTACGAGGCAAACTATGCAGCTCTTACTCCAGTCACATTCTTGAAAAGAGCTGCTAAATTTTATGCTAACCGTACCTCCATCATATACGGTGGTGCTCGGTTTACTTGGCGGCAGACCTACGATCGCTGTCGACGCCTCGCTTCGTCCCTCCAATCCCTTGGCATTGCCAAAAATGACGTGGTTAGTTAACGTTTTTTTTTTTTTTTTTTTTTTTTTGTCCATAGTTGTTATGTTCTTTAATTGTCATCCTGTTTTTTTTTTTTTTTTTTTTTTTTTTTTTATACACTAATCTTATTATTTTTTTTTTTTTTTTTGAGGAGAGTCTTATTATTATTAACTAGTCAAATAATCACACTACTATTGTATTCATAAATAATAATACTCCATTGGCTGTCTTTTAATGTATTAGGAAAACAGAGTAAGAGACATTGTTATAAGATGGATGGATGGATGGATGTAAGAAAATATAGAGTAGATACAATAGAATGTGTAATTACAGGTATGATTATGGTATATCCGTATCAAAACAGAATAATGTATAAGTCAATACATCAAAAAAAAAATTGTGCTTTGTAATTATTACTTATTATTAATTAAAGGTATACGTAAAATAAAGTGGTTCATTATTTTTTTTAAACGTAAAATAAATGTTATACACAACCTTTAGGGCTATATATAAGGAGTTAAAATTAGAAAAAAAAACAAATTAAAATATAATATTATTACACTGATTTACGCATGATTTTATCATACATTCTTAAATTAATACCAAATTAGAAAAGATATTACTTATTTTTAACCCTAAAAGCTACATATAGCATTACCCTAAAAAAAATAAAGAAATAATCATTTTCTTAATAACCATTATACCACATTATTAAGCATTATACTAATTTATATTTGGTTCATTTGTGTTAGGGCTTGTTTAGTTCACCTTACTATTGATGATCTGATTTGGTTTGATTTGATCTGATTGTCTGATTCGACCAAACTTTGACCATATCTGTACGATAATTTATAAAGAAAAAATATATCAATTGGGGCCTTGTTAAAGTCGTAATAATGTGTATTCTATAAATATATAATTTTCATAATTTTTTTCAATGTAAATTATAGATATTTAACGATAAAAAATCGCACATAAAATGATAAAATGTGTCAGAACTTTTTTTTTTTTTTTAATCTAATCTGATTTGAACTTATTTTTTTGACTTAATCTAATCTAAACTTAATTTTTCTAAATATAAGTAAAAATAAGGTGAATTAAACATGACAGGCCGCCTTATCATCATAAGACTACACATTTGAGTGTCACAGCAAGCATTTGTCTCTATTGCAATTTAACTCTTCCCTGGCCCACATGTCATTGATTATGTATAATTAATATATGAAATACTTTTTCTGTCCCTATTAAGTTGACCTAATTTGACCGACTGAGTTTTAAGCATTTTCATTGACTATTGTATTATGTAAGATAAGTTGGTAATGAGATTAATTATTCATTGTAGTGAATGTATGGAGCTGAGTGCGGAGACCATTACTAATCACAACATATCTCAGTTGCACATTTTATATATTGCAGTAAATTTAATTTGCAATGTAAATTTAGTTCAAGTTTTCGAATCTGAGATTTTGATCTGGCTTGGATCGGATTGCATCATAGATTAGATTTGGTGAGAAATTTGGATTAGATTGGATTAGAAAATTAAAAATCGAATTTTAATTTAAATCGAATTTTAATTTGACATAAATCCAAATCAAAAACTAAATGGACACCCCTACTCTTTCCCTGCTGGCAACACCCAACTTTCAGCTCTCCTCCCTTTCTATGCGTAAGAAGAATCTCCATATGCAAGTAGGAGGAAAATTAGGGAATCCACTTGCTTGAGGTGAGAATTGAACCCCTCTCACATGGGCAGAAGTAGGGCTCTCTCCTCTCTTTAATTTGTTTATGTAAATTTAAGTAGTTATTGAACAAAAAAGATTGAATGGGTGTGAGAATATTTTGTTCGGTTTCTTTTACCAAATGCATGCCTTCGAGCTTTTTAAAAATTCATCAAATAATACCCTCGCGTTTTCAATTCCAATATTCACCAAATACCCTTTACCTTTTCAAAAATACTTCAAAGTACCCTTAATAACTAACGATCATTAGTTATGTTAGTCATTAGGGTTAATCATAACACATGTCATGATATGATTGATTCTTTTTCAATATTTTAATTATTTATTAAAAAAATTATACTTTTCTCAATTTGAGTATCAAAAAAAATTTCCGCTAAAATTTTTTAGGACATTTTGACCTTTTTTGAGTCCAACTTAAGCTCAAAATTGGCCAAAAAAAAAACCTAATTGCATCGTTTTGTGTGATAAGAAAAAATGTTAATTTTTAATTAATTAAAATAATGAAAATGAATCAATCATATCTTCACATGTGTCATTATTAACATTAATGACTAACGACTAAAGTATTTGTTAAAAGGTGAAGGGTATTTATTGAATTTTGAAAAACACGAGGTTATTTGATGAATTTTTATAAAGCTCGAGGACAATTGGTGAGAAAATTGTATTTGTCACATGCTGCCACATGGCATGGTAACACGTATATTACCTATTTTTGTTCACATCAAAAGTCACCATAGAGGGCAGAGACCAATTTGGTAATACACTTTCTAAAATCAGGATCATCCATAATTAAGAAATTAATAAAAAAAAAATTAATAAGACAGTTTAGAGCAAGAATATAATTGGGAGGGCTGATATTACTCAGATCAAGGCCATTCATCATTATATATGGGCCCAAGGCAATATAAGATACAAGACCCTTTATAATTTTGTTGCCTTGTTGCTTGGGCATTGGCTTTGAAAATCAAAATATATTATGCACATAAGCACATTGCAAATTAGAAACCGTAGGTGAATGTATAGTACTCATTTTGCAAGCTCTATTATTTTTCAATTGGTACAAACAAAGTGTTGGCTGACGAGTACTTAGTAGGGTGCTTACCTCGGATCCTACAAGTTTTAAGTTCAAATCTTACCCAGTAAGGGTGCTTGAGGGTAAGAATTTCCTTACCCCTTGCCTGTACTCCCAAGTGCTTGATTCACAAAGATTGAATCAGAAGTCCCGTGAGTATTGAAGTCTGGTCAAGGTCCTCCTTGCCATTAAAAAATTCAGTTGGAACTTATAATTTGCAATTATGTACACATGTTTATTACATTCTTACCTTAATCTGTTCGCATTGACGTTATTTATGGAGTATCACTTATCAAAGGGGTCGTCACATCACAATAAACATATTGCAAAAAAATGTTATTGTTGTAAACGCAAAGTGTTAAGTTTTTTTGCTACATGAATTACTTAACTGACTGTATATTGTCCAACTTGTTAGGTATCAGTATTGGCCCCAAATATACCAGCATTGTACGAGATGCACTTTGCAGTGCCAATGGCAGGAGCTGTGCTCAACTCCATCAATACTCGGCTTGACGCCAATACTCTCAAGTCTATACTCGACCACTCGGAAGCTAAGATCCTTTTTGTGGACTACGAGTACATCCCTCTTGCTTACGAGGCGCTTCGTCTCTTAAACAATGATCCAAAACGTTCAACATCGAAACCCTCTATTGTTATCATCACAGAGATGGATTCTCCTACAAATAAACATGGAAAACACGAAAGCGAAAACTTTGAAACTATGGCAAGTGTGAATGCTCACCAAAACAAAAAGTGTGACAATGAATTGGAATATAAAGACTTGATTGCCATGGGAAATGTAGATTTCGTACCAATAAAGATCGACGATGAGTGGGATCCCATTGCTCTTAACTACACATCCGGTACGACGTCTTCTCCTAAAGGAGTGGTATATAGTTATCGAGGAGCCTACCTAAGTACCTTGAGTATGATCTTAGGTTGGGAGATGGCAACCGAACCCGTGTACTTATGGTCCTTACCGATGTTTCATTGTAACGGATGGACCTTTGCTTGGGGAGTTGCTGCTCGAGGCGGGACTAATGTTTGTATACGCAATACAACCGCATCTATAATTTACAAAAGCATAGCACTCCATGGAGTCACTCACATGTGTTGTGCACCGATTGTGTTGGACATCATTCGAGAAGCCAAGCCAAACGAGCTCGTGCGACTAACCTCCCAAGTCCAAGTACTCACTGGTGGATCACCTCCTCCACCAGGACTACTTAACGAGATGGAGAAACTCGGGTTTCATATCGTACACGGTTATGGACTAACCGAGTCAGTAGGCCCTGCACTAGTGTGCGAGTGGCAAAAGGAGTGGGATGGTCTTTCACAAGAGGAACAAGCACAATTGAAGGCGCGTCAAGGGATTAGTCCACTAAGCATAGCAGACGTCGATGTTAAAGATACGGTAACAATGCAAAGTGTGCCTAACGATGGGAAGACGACAGGGGAGATTGTGATACGTGGTAGTGGCATAATGAAAGGATACTTCAAGAACGAAAAGGCCACCTCAGAAGCATTTGCTAACGGGTGGTTCCATACCGGCGATGTAGGTGTTATACACCCGGACGGGTATATAGAATTAAAGGATAGGTTAAAAGATGTGATCATATCCGGTGGTGAGAATATTAATAGTGTACACGTTGAAGGGGTGATTTATCGACACCAAACGGTGTCGGAGGTGGCTGTGGTGGCGATGCCACACCCGCGATGGGGTGAAAGCCCTTGTGCATTTGTTGTGAGAAGTGGTAAAGATGGAAGTGTAACGGAACAAGATATGATAACGTATTGTAGAAATAATCTTCCTCATTATATGGTGCCTAAAAAGGTATGTTTCGTGAAAGAGCTTCCAAAGACTTCTACAGGAAAAGTTCAAAAGGGAATATTACGTGCTATGGCAAAGAAGTTTGATGTGCAAAACGATCTTCTATTGAGCCCAAATATTGTGGCCTCACGTTTATAGTGTTTGTTATTGTCTTATATTATTGTTGACTAGATTTTAAACTGGTTCAACTTACACACGATTTTAATTTGATTTTGTACTAAATTAAGAAGATTGACTATATGAATCTTAAATTATTTACAAGTATTTTAATTTCGTTCTAAGAGAATTTTATGTGTAAATTTTTTTAGGTTTTTTGTTCTCTATTAAAATTCGATATTTATAAATGAATCAACTTTCTTAATATTGTGAGGGTATAGGGAATGTTAAGTTCTTAATTCATTTTTTGTCATTATATTGGGATATGATGGATTATGATTTTGTGAAATAATTGCTTGAGTTTCTGGCCTAGAAAACTGGCTCGGCTTGATCCAAAAAGCCCTCTGGGCCCAACCCATAATGGGCTGGGAAATTTTTTTGGCCCGAACTTTGGCCTGGCTAGGCCATTGCCACCTCTAATTTAGAGCAATATATTTCACCATGTAATAATAAAAGGGCTTGAACATATTTTAATACAAGGTAGATCTATATGCACGTGATACGTGATATAGGTTATTTCTAAATTTATTGACTCCAATCATTTTATAATAGTTTGTAAAATTAATGGCATTTTAGGTATTATTGCACTACATCAACCCTTAGCTTTTACAATAGAAATATGCTCTTATATTGCTACGATTTCTCACAAATATTAATAAGTTACTACATATAGTATTTGCTTTCAAATGTTATTAACATTCCGTGACTATAGAAACGTGTCAATTAAAAAGGGGGGATTATTTTGGGCGGATGAGACAAAGGTTAGATTATTACAGAAATTTTTTCCTATTTTATAAATAAATGTAGTTACAGTGTGTAGCTGGTTGCACACAAGCATTATTGTTTTCTTATATAATCTTAACTACCAAAAAAAAAAAAAAAAAAAAAAAAAAGACAATTATAATCTCACATCCCCTTCGTTAATTTAGTTTATGGTGGTGATTGAATTTTTAATTAAGGTTTAAATTGTGATGCTTTTTTTCATTGGTCAAATGGTAGCTCATGCACTTTACAACTTGTGGCAATGCGGTAATATATGAGCAAATTGATTTCTGTATAGTTTGCTCATTTAAATAATTAAATGAGCAAATGAAAAAATATATTTTGCACATTTCTATTTGAATCAATACAAAAATTAACGTTTGTTGTTAGAACATATACACTTTATTTAGGTTGAGTATATGGAACATTATTGCTATTGTTGGAGAGATATTGAAGTGTCATTTTGTTAATTATCTGCAAGGGCAAAAAAAAATTTACTCATCCTAAACAAAATAGCAAAACATTGTTTTTTTTTTTTAAACATATAAATTAAGCATAATTATCAATGGAGTCAAAAAGAAAAAGGGTGACTATGTCAGAAATTTGTACTTAAAATAAAACATTTAACTATTGAAAAATTGTTGGGAATAATCCACTCTTGTTTCCAGCTGCACACTCTTTATTTCAACCCCCTCTTTGACTTTCTTATCGCCTTTTATTTCATATGGGCCCAAGGTTAAATGCCCATATGGTTAAAACATTATATTAGCTCACTAAAATGGGCTTCATCCTTCAAGTAGGAGGGAACAACCCCAACAACTATTTGAAACCTTCACAACTGTGTGTCAAGACAAAAATCTAAGGGACAAAAATTAAATGCCTACTAGGTGATTATGTATGACCCTTTTTTTTTTAATTTTTTTTGGTTAAACAGGGCAAATTAGGTCCCATCCCCTAAAAAGAGATAGATTAATTAGGTCTTATGAGCGGAATGTTTCTGCAACGGTCATTTGATATATGACTACCATATTATTTTAATGATAAACAATATAATCGGCTTATTTTTTACATTATAATATGGACACAATTAGTCTTCTAATTTCTACAATGTAAATATAATTTTTGAAAATTTTAATCCATCATAAAAATAGATATTTTTGGAGAAACTATAAAATAAGAATAAAAATTACATAAATAAAATAACAAATTTGATAAATAAAAGAAAATGTTGTAAATACTATTTTATACCAAAATAAAGTAATAAAACTTATTATTTTGAGAAAAAAACATGTCAATTATGACTTCTTAATCATTGAAACACTATATTAGTGCCTCTGCGATGCACACTAATAATTTTTTTTTATATAATTAATTGTGATATAATATAAAAATGAGGCAACTCATGCGGCATAAACAAATGCAATGCATATAGAATAATAAAATAATAAGGCAAAAATTATTAAAGCTACAATTGAGAAAAAAAAATTATTGTTGATTTTTTGTGTTGAAAATATTTAAAAGCAGTATACATTATATTACATTAATGAGGCATATTATTCTCAATAAAATTATACAATCTAGTGACTACATGACTAAAGACTTATTTATAAATGTCTTTCTATAAACATCAAATTAAAATATACATAAACAATAGACTAAGGGGCCGTTTGGTTTGCATAGGGGAATCGGAATGGAATGCAGAATGGGAATGAAGGAGAAAGGAATGGATTAACCCTGATTTGCCCTAGTTGTTTGGTTGTATCCAGGAAACGGAATGAAATGCTGACTGATTCCCTTTAAGACAGTTTGGTTCAAACTAGGGAATCAAACCATTCCATACAAATTCATTCGTGCTATAGCAAAAAACTTTCAACAATGGCAAATTATATAGAAAATTCAATCACCATGAAGGCATTTATGAACAAATTAAAGAGTAATATTAGTTTAAAACAAGACAAATCCACAAAATTACATAAATTAAAAAAAAAATGAAAACTACTCTGACATGAAAGTCGACGGTGATGAAGGCGGTGGTGGGAGGTTTGAATCAACTGGTAGTAATGAAGGTGGTGAAGAAGATCACAATCCCTAATTGCAAAAGTAAAACCCCAATTTCTTGAGCTTGAATCAATGGCTGCCACCGCCATTTCCCCCCAAATCCTTTAAACCAACTCTAACCCTATTTCTCTCTCCTCGGCGACGAAGAAGAAGATGATGATGGTTGCGACGACGAGCTCGAATTCGTGAGTAGACGACGGCGACGACAGTGGAGAGGCGAAGAAGTAGAAGGCGACGACAGATGCGAAGACAAGCTCGAATTCGTGAGTAGACGACGTCGATGGAGAGGCGAAGAAGACGATGACGGTGGAGAGGCGAAGACGACGACGACGGTGAAGAGACGAAGAAGAAGACGACGACGACAGTGAAGAGGCTTGAGAGGAGAGAGAAGGGGGCGTGAGTTGAAGGGGAATGGGAATGCAAAAGGTAGGGAGGGTGGGGAATGGGTTTAGGGGATTTTTGGGTAAACTCATCGAATCATTAAAGGCAATAATAATCCAATTAGGCAACACTAATCTCTATTATTAGTAGCACATTTTCTGTCTATGGATTGATGATTTACATGATATCGTCGCTCTTTGTTATTATGTAAAATTGTGTTTGAAGCTATCCCATAATTGTAGGGGTGGCAAACGGATCAAGTCAGGTCGGGTTTGTGTCCGAGTTTTTGAGTTTCGGATCAGCTAACCCCCAACCTGAACCTGATCCATTTAAGTTTTCGGGTTGAGAACCCCAACTTGAACCTGATATTTTCAGGTTCGGGTCAACCCGAAAACGACCTGATTTGACCTGATTTTATTTTTTTAAAATTGGGTTGATTTGACCGAAAACAATCAATATGCAGTAATTAATAACAAATCGGGAACAAAAAAAAAAATCAGAAACAACAAATCGGCAACAACCAACATGCAAAAAATTAACAACAAAAATTTTAGGTGTATTACGATTATTAACCAAAAACAACACAATCGAAGAAAAGCTGAAATTTAAAAATTTAAAAAAAAAAAACCAAAACACAAAATTAAAACAGAAAATTGTCTTTGAAGGAAAGGAAGAATTGAAGGTGACTGTGAAAGTTTTGGAGATGTAGAATCAGATCGACCGAAAACACATGTAGTTGAGCTTGAGGCTTGAAGTTCAGCTTGAGGAGATGTACAAGTAGAACTCAGACCAACCGAAAAATCAGCTTGAACGGTTGAAAACTTGAAATTGAACGATGGTGAATTGAACTCAGATCAACCGAAAAGGAAAAACCCCAGCTTGAGACCGAAAACCCAAATTAACAAATTTGTATGATTTTAGATTTTTTTTAGAATTTTAGAGACCGAAAACCCAACTAGAAATTGAACGATCAATGGTGAATTGAATTCACATATGATTTTAGATTTTTAGAGTTTGAATTATGAGAGAGAAAATTGACAGAAAAATTAAACTACATAAATAAACTGCAGTTTACAATATGAGAGAGAAAGTCTGAAAGTGTGCTGGAGTTTTGCTAAGAAACGGCTGAGAGAGTGAGAGGTGTGAGCATTGAGATGATTTTAGGGTTTTAGATTTTAGATAAGGAGCTATATTTGGGCTTGGGTCGATTTACATTAGGACCCATATTTTTTGTGTGTTGTGCTGCTGGTTGGTATTTTTATAGTTGAGGTTATTATTATTTTTTTTTTTTAAATATTCGGAAATTCGGGTTAAATGGGTCATTTTCGGGTTAGAATTTTCAACCTTAACCTAACCCATTTAATTTCGGGTCGGATTCGTGTCAACCCATTTCAGTTTTCGTGTCAAAAATCTCAACCCTAACCCGCTATTTTTAGGTTGGGTTCAGGTCGGGTCAGTTTTTGCCAACCCTACATAATTGTAGTTTGATCGTTGTTTGTTTATTGACTTAAAAGTTTATTTGTAAATAAATAACTATTAATCCAAAAGAAAGGATACACAAGAAAATGTCACTTGTCACTACGTCTAACGTATCTTTTACTATGCAGCTTATTTATGAATGTCGAATGTAATAAATTTATTATTTCATTCCAATGTTTCAGCAAAAGATAATAATTTTTATTGTATTTACTAAGATATTAACTTTTTAATTAAATAATAACAAAAAATTGATTGATATTTTACAATTTCATAGAATTAGACATATGATATAATTGTCAAACACAACATTTATTGTATAGTCATATATAATACTCCATTAGTCTAAGCAACAAAATATTAAAGTTATTTGAAAAAAAAAGAGTGATGT